CATCGTCTCTGTCTTGGATCGTTCTTGTGTAGTGCTGGTTGTCAGTTTCCAGGTTCTATTTTGCGATTGGGATATCATTATTTAACTGCTTGGCTGATTGACTGAGTTATTGGATGTCGAAGAGCAACATTGTTTGGCAGAGAGTTAGCTTACACTGGCCTACTAAGTAACGTCCTCTATAGACCGTTTCAAACACATCATTGAAAACTGTTTGTTATTTCTAGACTAAATTTTTCACACGATTTCTTTTTACACTAAATAGCCAGATAACGTACAATCTACTCAAGTATTCAAAACGAGCAAAATAAATTTAGAAAATAATATGCATCTGGTAAATTAAGTTCAAAGAACAATATTCAGAACTAAAATATGATGAAATTATTTAATTTATCATCTTGCATTTTACGATCGCAGCTCAAAAACCTACCTAACATATTCACCTCCTGAAAGCTATACCAAGCAGCTAAACCATGCCAACTTGATTACTTGAAGCTATTTTTTTCAACCTACTTATCCAGTTTGAAAATCATTTCAACCTATCTATCTGGCTAACTAAGACCATTCCAACCAACCAACCAACCTACCTCTTACTGTTTACAGGAAAAAGTCTACAACTACTGCAGTTTTAGTTATAATTTTCTGTAAATTTTAAAATCATTTTTCTACAAATGCCGAAAAGAAATCAAACAACATGTTTACTACTGAAAACTCACACGGTTCCCGCCGAAAATCACTAAAAATTAACCTATATAAATCTAAAAAACAACAAACAAAATAAATTATGTAAATCTAAGATACGATACGATATTGCGATACGATATGCTCAAACAAGACAGGTACTATTCAACTTAAGCATGCAACAAATATGCTTGCTATCCCTGAAGTTTAAAACTAAAATTTGTATTAAAAATAATTGTTTCAACTGTTCTTTTAAATGATCCAACAGTAAACAAGGCTGTCCTAACGCCGACAGAAAACGAAAGTCTGAAGAGAACACGCTTAAGTCCTGCCAACCAGATCAACATACCAACAACTTCGCACCGATAAAGAAAGTTAAATGCCATAACAACGCAACTTCAGAAAGTGTCACGCACGAAAACAGAGCGGAAAGAGACAAAACCAAAAACAGCAGCATCATCACACGTTTCAAAAGAAACGTCCGACAACTATCCGCTCTAGAAATTCTAAACAAAAGAATCAAAACGAGGAGTTTAAAAAATTCAGAAAAGCCTAAGATATCAAGTAGCCAACATTCAGTCGTTGCATCTCGTGAAAATACTGTAAACATCAGTGCAGATGAAAATTTAAACAGAAATGAAATGAATTCCAGCAAAGATAAAGAAGATGACGACGCTACTCTTTCGGGCATTGATGGCCTGAACAACATTGAACTTTCAATGAACAATGTCGACAAGATTGAATTAGCGAGCAGCCAGCTGAATGGTTTCCATCGCCAATTGACCCTCTTAACGGCAAACATGGATGTGACGTCTAACAGCCATGAGAATAATTGTGATGAAATTAATAATCTGAACATTCTTAACGATAACAACAGCAGCAGCAACACCGACAGTAATATTTTTTACAACAGTGGATTCACCAGCGGCAACAATTCAAACAACTACAGCAACAACGACGACAGCTACAACAACGACAACTGCATCTCGGCAGATCAGAACGCTTTCATTCTGGAGGTGGGAGGTTCCGAGGAAGTTCTCGATTGCCATGAAGATAACGTCTACGAGAACGTCAATGATAATGATGAAGATAACGAAAGTGAAGTGATCGACGTCAAGTTAACAGGCCCTGGCACTGAACTGAACAGCCAAGAAACACGCAACCCTAAGAAGGATGGCGACGACGACGATACGAGCGATAACAATGAATTCTATGAAAAACCTCACGATCCCCACAAAACTCATTCATTCAGCTCTTTCGGAATTAACAGTTCCAACAACAGTACAAAAGTAGTTTGTGGTAGGAGCAACGAACTCGACGACGATCTCCATTCAAACCACGAAGGGGTATCTAGCGAGGTCCTAATCAGCAAGATGTTCACTGCCAGCAACGTACTTTGCAGTTATGATCCGGCCATTGGGGAGGACAACGACGTTGAGTCAAAGAGCAACGAAGAAGATGAGGATGACAACCTGCCAGGGATGGGAAAGCTAGAAATCGATCTGGAGAGCTCGGAAACACTTTGTAAGTCAAACCAGAATGTTGAGGATGGAGAGGACGAAGATGAAGAAATTTCTTCAAATAACAACAGCCTCGGTGATAACAGTAAAAATTTTGTAAATGGTGGCGAGATGGTCAATACTATTTTTGCAAGCGTTGCCTGTGTAAAAAACTGCAATAAAAACGATAATTTCAACTCAGCGTTGTGCTCTGAAGATTTGGAAATTGAAGATAAATTAAAAGCAACATGCGTTGGGGAGTTGTTAATGAAAGTGGAAACTTTATCCAGTGATGCAAGCAGCTCTGATTATTTAAACCACCAAAAGGCTGGAATGCCAATCAAACTAGAAATCAAACCCCAACAGCCCCAACAAATTCAAGTTATTGAGAACAGTCCCACAAGCAGTGAATCTAATGTTGACAGTGTTTTGGATTCTAACGTTTTGTTAGCAAATTTACTCAAGAATAATAATGCAAATAATTTACTCTTGCAACTGGGTGTAATGAAAGCTTTGCAACAGCAGCAGCAGCAGCAACAGTTGCAACAAAAACAACAGCAACAACAGTTGCAACAACAACAACTTCAACAACAACAAATTCAACTCCAGCAACAAAGTCATGTAAAATCAATTCAGTTACAGCATTTGCAGCAACAACTTCAAAATATTGTGTCCTCATTAAATGTTTCAACTTCTTTGCCCGCCAACATCAACACCATCCAACCAATTGTCATCTCACCCCAACCGAAGGCGTTCGTTAACAACAACAGCAGCAACAACAACAACAACTCATCCCAACGTGTGTCTGTAATACCACAACAACAAATTTCGTCAACACTTCAACAATTGGCCTTAGCCGCTCAACAAATGAAATCAACATCTCAACAGTCTCAACAAATGCAGCAGCAGCAACAGCAGCTACTAATTTCACAAATATCTCAAAAACTTGCATTAGTAGTTTCAGCTGCTCAACAACAACAGCAACAGCAGCAACAACAAATTGCGTTGAACTCTGCAACGAAATCAACTCCGATACTTGGCGGCGTGCGACCGCTGCAGGCCTCCAACATGAACAGCACGTTATCAGGATTGTTAGCAGCAAACCTTCCGCAACAGACTCAACTACTTTCTGCCGCAGCCTCTTCAACAGCAGCTCCAACATTGGTGAGGACCACACTTTCTCAGCAGCTGGTCCAACAACTCCAGCAACATTTCAACTCGGCCTCCAGTCTCAGTGGCTTAGCAGCAGTTGCTCAGGAACAAGCCAAACTACCAGTTAACGTTCCAGCAACGTTAAATTCACCTCAAACGTCACCTCAGTCGACATTTTTGCTGTCGCCATCACCCTCTTCCACGTCAACTTTCCTAGTGACGTCTTCATTGTCGTTGTCCTCCGTGCCATCATCTCTATCGTTATCGTCCATTTCGTCAGCTGGATCATTAAATTTTGATGTGCCAACGATTTCCATTTCCATAACCACCTGCTGCCCAGTTGTCATTCCACTTGCACCCGCCAAGACAACGTCCTCCAATCTGCCGTCAAACTTGGTCCTTTCAACGAATCTCCCTCAACAACTCAAGCTGCTGACCGGAGTTCAACAGGTCATAAAAATGGCGGGAGCACAAAATGGCAGCAATCAGAATGCGATTGCTGCCTCACCGACTGTCGTGCAACAACTTTTCAGACAGATACTGCAGCAGCAAATGCAACAGCAGCAACAACAGCAGCAGCAAACAAATGTTTCTTCAGCTACCAACAACACTCAGGTAAAAGATTCATTTCGCTACTTGCTTATTTTTTCAAAACAAGGTAGTTTTTTTTAGAATTTTTTAGTTGATAATGTTTACTATTTATTTGTTAACAATGATCAATTAATAAATAGATTAACAGATATTGATAAAATTTATCAATCCATCATTTAATTAATTGACTAATTGATTAAATAACTAATGTTTTTATCAAGAACCAACAACACTCAGATAAATTAATTAAATTATTATTTAATTAATTCATTAATTAACTAATTAAATTGAACTTACCAGAGCAATGCGGCAAGCAGCTTTTTGTCAACAGCATCATCATCGGCATCATCATCATCATCATCCTCTTCGTCATCGTCAGCCACATCTCCCGCCCCTTCGCTGCCCACCATCAACTCCCCCCACCTCCCCAACGTACGACCCCCCCTACGTTTCATCGCACCCACCTCCCACACCAACAACCTCATGACCACTCTCAAACAGCTTATGTCCTTCAAGGAAAACAACTTAAATTTGCTGGCTGACCTCTCCGTCAATGGAGCCGCTGCAAGCAACAACATCGTCATCAGCAGCCAAGTCAGCAGCAGCAGCAACAGCAGCTGCAACAATATCATCAACAGTGTCAACAACAGCAACATCCCAATGCTCTCTCCAAAAGACAGTGCAATGAAAGGTCTGTGGTGTCCAGTGGCTTATATCAATGTTCATACTGAAATTAGTGAACTGAACTTTAAATTTCTTACCTTGCTTGGTATTTGTTTAGTCGCATCTTTGATTGCCTATCTTTATTTTATGGTTCCTCTCGTATGAATCAAGAGTCGTATTTGTATTTGTCTGAATTAATGATCGCCTTCAACTTTGAAACTGATGAACATTTGTTACTGTAAACTTTCTGCTTACACCCTTTAAATTATGTGTAAACTTTTATATCATATAACCCCGGTAAACAATTAACAAATAAGAACTTTGAGAACAACGCGTTAATTAGTAATAGATACTAATTACTAATTAATTAATTAGTAATTTAGTTAATAAATAAAAATATATAAATTTGACGTAGGTGAGAGCAAGTGTCCTACCCCAAATTGCGATGGCACCGGGCATGCTACTGGCCTCTACTCACATCATCGAAGGTCAGTGCTGTGCTGGTCACTAGCATTACGTGGTCATTTGCTGGTTGATTGGTAGGTCGGATTAAATATTCAACCTTTTTTCAAATTTGCAGTTTGTCTGGCTGTCCGAGGAAAGATCGTGTTACTCCTGAAGGTTGCTGAAGTTTTTTTGTTATTAGTTTTTATGTAGGAAATTGCGATAATACTGGTGCAACTATGCACTTCCACGCGTTCATTCTTACAAGCTTGTTGGGTCTATTTAATGGAGACTTTATATTTTATCCATCATTAACATAACAACAGATAACCATCTCGACCATTAACATATCAACAAATAAGTCATCTCTATGGTAAAATGTTTGTTAACATATAAAAGAACGCATTTCAATCCAGAAATAGATAGATAAGTATATATATATATATATATATATATATATATATATATAAATTATACCTGTGAATTTTCCAACCTTCCAACAGTTCTGGCTCAGCATGATACAGTGCTCAGGTTGGCTTGTTCGCCGTGTTACTCTTCTTGAAACTTTCTATCTATAATTTTATTTATTAATTTATTTTTGTTTATTAATTATTGTGTTTAACTATTGTTGCGAATAAAATGTTAATTTTGTAAATGAAATGAGGTTTTTTTTGTTCAAAAGAAGAAATATAAGCATCCAAACATTCGAAATTTGGATTATTTTGCGGACCTGCTGCCAACTTTTTGAAAAGGCACATGCACGTACTACCGCACTAATTTGGAATGTGCAAACAAGGGAGTGTTTTGTAAGGAGGCTTGTGTTCGCCGCAGTGAATGAACTAAAAACAAACAAATAAAAATAGAACTATTAACAAACAAACAAACAAACATATGAAAAAACAAACAAACAAACAAATGACACAGATGTCCAACACCAGGTTGTACAGGCAGGGGACATGTTAACAGTAACAGGAGTTCACATAGGAGGTGAACAGATTTAAACATTTCTAAATTTTATTTTTTTTTAATTAATTAATTTTTTAATTTATTGAAATAACTTTTTTCATTTTTGTGTCTTATCCTCTCAGAACATTGGCGTTCATCGACTTTTACAAATCTTGGACATTGCAGCAGTTGAAGTGTGGGAATTAAAAATGACAAACGTTTTTCACAAATGTAAGCCATTGTCTTCTCCAGGCATTCATTCTAGTAGCTCTTGAATCTTCCATTCCTTCTTTTTTACAATGCAGCCAACAATCTTCAGCTGTCCTCGTCTGATTATTTAGTCTTCTATTTCACTTGCCAGATTGTGTTAATACACCTGCCAGTTCAGATTTCTAACAAACTTCCACATCTCAGTAGCATCAACTCTTTGCCCTATTACTTCAGTGATTGTCTTGTGTTTGGGACTGTTAGTGAACAGAACAAAATCTTTAAACTCTACAAGTTTTAATTTTGTAGGCATCCGTATTGGGCTATCGGTGAGGATGTTTCTCATTTTAGAATAGGAATTATTGTCGTAACAATTCTTAATTCCACAACTACATCACATTTACAACCTGAAGTGGTCAGATTTCCTTGATTAGTAATTATGTTGATTTGTTTCACTTGTTCGCTAACAATTCAAAAATTTAGTTAAAGGTTATAATGGTAAAAATGTCTTTTTTTATTGCCAACCATGCATTCTTTATTGCTGAAATGAAATTAACTTGCCAACCTTTTACCACCTTTATAGACCGGTTCTGAAATAATTTTTTGTAGCGTCTTAATTCATTCATTCATTCGTTTATTAATTTTTTCATTTATTAATTAATATATCCGTTAGTAAATAAATTAATTCTTTCGTTTGTTCATTCACTCATTCGTTCGTTCGTTCGTTCGGTCGTTCGTTTGTTCGTTCGTTCCTTCATTCGTTCATTCGTTTTGTTCGTTTGTTCGTTTATTCATCCACTCAATAAATTATTCATTCGTTTTCCCATCTATTCAGTCTATCCGGCTGCCCAATAGCGGCCCACGGAAAGCTATCTAGCGGTACACAACTCAAGAAAGCCAATCTGAGCATTATTGGAGGTTTGTGATGTGATGTAATATTTTTTTTTTTTTTTTTTAGTCTTAGTTATTGCAGCTCTGACATACGCAGAACCACTTACAATGTTACAGATATATTATCTAATAACAAATGATGTTATGTGATGTGATGATGTGATGGGATGATGTCATTACATAATGTTTGTTTGTTTGTTTGTACAGTTTAACGGCGTTTCAGCACAACTGGCTATTTTTACGCCCTTTGTTCCTTTTCTATAAATGCGTTTTGTTGTTTTAAAACTTTTGAGAAATTATTTTTAAATTCTATTAAAAATTTGTATTTCCTGAAGGAATGATATTAGATTATTGATTTTATCTCTGGAAAAAAATTTTTCTATTTCTGAAGGAATGTCATGTCGTTTCCTACTATTATTGTGACTATTACATTTGACCAAAATGTGATGGATAGTTAGTTTTTCGTTACAAGAGTTGCATGTAGGCAAATTTGTTTTGTTGAGAATCCAGGAATGAGTCAAACTTGAATGGCCTATTTTTAATCACACACATGTATGTCATGGGATCATAACATTTAAGTGTCCATATTGAATAGGTCTTGAGTAGAGTGTGGTGATGATCTAATAAAGTTAACGTACTCACATTTGTTATGATAATAATAATGAGTTGATTTCTCAGAGATAATGAAAACTAATGAACTTCTTGTTATTGATAAATTGTACAGAGGACTCAAACGCCATAGCTGTGATACCACCTGGTCAGTCTGTCTTTCTTATCATACTTTGCAATCATCATTTTCATCATCATCATTGTCATTAACTATCATCGCTATCACTATCTCACATCATTACCATAACTTTCCATCATCATCATCATCAACATTACCGTTAATCATTATCGTCAACATTATTATTATTATTATTATTTTCTTCTTCTTCTTCTTTTTCTTCTTATTCTTATTGTTGTTATTGTTATTGTTATTATTATTATAATTATTATTATAATTATAATTATTATTACCAACGCCGTTAACCACACCACCGAACGCAGTCCTGCCAGCGGTGAAGTCGTCGGATCGCCTTCTGAAGCCGGTCATCATCGCCAAGCAGCTCCTAGACAGCACGCTGACCTCAACAACCCACGGGGATCCTCAGA